TTGCTGGGCAGGCTCCCGTGACCGCGCCCGGCCTCCACGGGGAGGCTGGCTGGGAGCGTGAGGAGGGTGAGGTAGCGCGGAAGCCCCACGGCGAGCGGGGGGGCAGGTCTGCCTCGTGCCCCCGCGCGGACAAGTGGAGCGCGAGCGGCTCTGCCCCTTGCCCTCAGGCCTACCTGCTCGTGCCCCCTCAGCGTCAGGCTAGTGGGCAGTTGGTCCCCCCGAGGGGGAGCACTGGGAAGGGGCCGGCTAAGCTAGATCCCCGCCCTGCGCTTCGGCGCCCACCCAAGGGAGACAGGCTGGAATGGGTGATCTTTTTTTTTAAGATACATTTATTGATGCACACAGAACTGGGGCGCAGGCCAGAGGTGGGGGGGAGAGGCTCCCTCAGAGATCGAGTGGGGAGCAGGACAGGCGGATCCACTGAAACCCACTGCTGATGAGCAGCGGGGGACCGGAGGGGTCTCTGCGCCCTGGGGTCCCTCCCTGGCCGCGGATGGACTGGCTGAGGGGCTGCGCTTTACCCGCTGTGCCCCCGGGCGGCCTGCACTGCAGTTCTTGTTTAACTTCCTTGAGACAGAGCTGCCACCTGTGTGTCTGCAGCCCTCACCCAGCCCCTGGATCACGTGGCAGTCGCCTGAAATGTGAGCCGGCGGGCACCTGTATGGGTGATGCCTGTCCTTTTCCTTCTCCAGCTCCTGGCCCGACTTGGAGGAAGAAGTTCCTTGAGAGAAATAGAGCCCTGCCTGTGTGCTGATGAAGACTCGCCTCCGCATGGTAAAAACGGGAGCGCACAGTGCCGGGCCGCGGGCTGGGCTTTAGCAGCAAGGCCCACAGTGCTCGCGGGCGCCGGCACACAGACCCTGAGAAACCGGTGGTGGCAACTCGTAAGCCGCGCTCGCCTGTCGGACAGGCGGAGTCCGGCCTCGCGGGCAGGTTCTGGGGTTCGCAGCACTCTCCTGCTCAGGCACATACGCGGTTGGGGGAGTTCTGTACTCGGCGCTTACTTTTCCTCTTCTTGATAGAAGCGTGGGAATCACAGGAGGCCCGTGGGTGCCCCTGTGTTACTGTTTCCACAGCCGGGAAGGCCTGCTTGCTCCGGCAGCCTCTCCACGGGGGAAAACTTGCCAAGAGGTAGTGTGACGAGGTGGGTTTCTTTTGCACTGAAACAGCTTTATAGAGCTGGGATCCACCCTGCTAAGTGTACAGCTCGGTGTCTTAGTTTCCCGCCGCTGTGACCGTCCCCACAGCCGACGTCAGCATTTCAGCCCCCCAGAAGAAGCCCACCTCGGCCCTAAGCAGCTGTAGAGCCACTTTCTGACTGGGTTTGCTTCTGACGCTTCCGGGCAGAGTCCTGCGGGGAGGCTGGCGGGGCTGGCGGGTCACTGGTAGGGCCTGGGGGTGCTTTGCCCGTGGGTGTGGCTCTGTTCACACCTTCTTCACGGTGACGAATATTCTGTTGTTTATGGTCTATTCTTGTCCATTCATCGGTCCATGAATCGGGGTTGGTTCGGAACAAGGTTGCTATGATTATTTGTAGTTTTGCTTGCAAGTGTGTTTTCGGTTCTTTGGGGTGGTAACCAAGGAGGAGTAGCCGGCTTGTTAGGCTTGTGTGGTCACTGTGTAAGCTTCGTGGGAACTGCACATCGTTTTTGGCACCAGCAGGGGAGAACGAGGACACTGATTCTGCCACATCCTGCACATAGCGTTACCTGCCCTTTTCCTACAGCCCTGTGAGCGGGCGTGGCACTCACCCATGGCTCTGATTTAAATTCCTTGATGACTAATGGGCTAGCGTCCGCGTGTGGTTATCAGCAGTAGGTATATGCTATTTGGAGAAATGTCAGATCTTTCGTCTTCTTTTAAATGGTTTATTTTATTACTGTATTGTATTCTCTATGCAAGCCTGGACCAAATAGTTCATTTTCAGATATTTTCGCCTGGTCCATATGTTGTCTTTGCACAGCCTTGAAGGTGTCGATCGAAGCACAAAATGACTGATTTTGGTGAGGTTCAAGTGACCTTTCTTTTGTTGTTCACGCTTTTACTTTCAGATAGAAGGAGCTATCATCTAACCCAAGGCCAAGACTTAGGAGTTTTTCGGCTGTACATTTTTATTTCCAATCTTTCCTGATCAAAGGATGTGACATACTTGATGGCCGAGCTACGGCTGGCCCTGGAGAGTGTGCCATGTCTGGGAAGAAAGTGAGTTCCTCCGTAGTTGGGTCACGTGATCTCTCACTGATCTTTCCGTTCTCGTTGGGTCTGGCGTTATCGTTCAAGTCCTTATTCCTTGTGTACCTACTGGTTCTATGTGTTATTGAAAGTTCTGTTTTTGCTTCATGTATTTTGGGTCTTCATGTACTTTTGGCCACATATGAGTTTATTATATCAACTTTCACTACAAAATACTCTTTTTGTTATTCCCAGCCACTAGGATCGTTTACTGTGGGGGATAAAGTAACAGGCTCTGGTGAGGATGTGCAGGACTTGGAATCCTTGTGCGCTGTTGATGGGATGATGAAAGTGTCCGCACGCTGGAAAACTGGAAGTTCTGCCAAAACTTAAAGCTAGAACAACCATATAAGCCAATAATTCTGCTATTTGGTGATAAATACCCTAAAGAATTGAAAGCAGGGTTAGAAATATTTGCAAACCTGTGGTTGTCACGGTTGCACTATGAGCGGTGGCTGAGAAGCAGACTCAACGGTCCTCCACAGCAGAGCGCATAGTCAGATGCCCTCTGCACATGCCAAGGTGGTGCTTGTTGTGACTCACTACTGGGGCTGTATGTGCCTCACAAAGCAAGGAGACCCTGGCACACTCCACGGTGTGGGTGAACCTCGAGAACATGCTGCTTCACAGAAAGGTGCTCAGCCACTCTCTGAAGTAGTCAGACTCAGACGGAGAGTAGAGCGCTGGCTGGGAGGGACGGTGGGGAGAAGGCGGCTGGGGAACGGCGCAGTCTCAGTTTTGCGGGGTGGAACAGCCCCGGACAGCCGCTGTGCAGAATGCGGGCAGTCTCCGCCCCAGGCACTGTGCGCGCCTGGCCGAGGGCTGGCATCATGCGGGGCCGGCTGCGCGGGGCCGCCAGCCCTGCGCGCTCCTGTTGGGCCGCGGTGCTCTGCTTTCTGCGCCGGCCCTCGCGTGGCTTGCGTGCGGGGGGGCCCCCGCGACAGCCTGCGGCTGGAGCATTTTTAGTGCTCGCTGCCGCCTGCCTTTTTGCCCGAGTGATCTGAGCCATTTATAGTCGTGAACTACCGCTAAGAGAGGATTCAGGGCTTTCTTGCTGTTGGCTTAATGGTGTTTCGTGCCTTTTTTATTACCCTTCTGTTGTAAGTGGTCCGCTGCTATACCATTTTAAGTTCCTGGCATTGTTTTTACTATATTTTCAAAAAAATATTTTACTAATGGTTGCCCTGTGCACCGTAATTAAGTCTCCTTTGGATTAATACCATCTTACCTTCAGTGCTTCATAGAAAGTTTGCTACTGGGAAGCTCCGTTCCTTCTTGGTTCCTTTATGCTGTTTCAGCTCACATCTTTATACAGTATTTACCCATAAGCATTTTGAAATTATTAAATACAATTACCGTATAACTTAGTACTAAGTTAAGTGTTGCTCAGAGAGATGAAGAGTCACAAATAGAAAAGCCATGGATGCTGTCTTTTATATTGACCCGAGTAGTTACATTTTCCCGTCCTGCACTAAGTTGGATTGAATTACTGCCTGTGTCCTTTTGCTGAGTCTAGACAGCCCCCTTTAGTAATTCTTGTAGAGCATAACTTTTGCAAAAACTAGCCAGGCAGTCAGTATAGGTACTTTTTTATTAAACATGTGGACCAAAGATAGTATTAAGTTGTATGGAATGAAACTGGTCTTAAAGCCTGGGTTTGTAGTACAGAGTCTATATTTGAAAATTGCATTTATAAAAACCTTAAAAAACATGTTCAGACACTAATAAAAATGTTTTCCTTAAAACTGTTGTGGACCCGGGCCCTCGTTGGAGGCTCAGTGGATTAAAGCGCATCACTGTGAAGCTGTCCGCAGCCACGGCAGCATGAGTATGATCCCGGGCCAGGGGTGACCCACATGGCCTATCTCCCCGCTGGTCCCCTCAGCAGTGGACTTTGTCATCTGCCTGTTCTGCTCCCCACTCTGTCTTTGGTGAATCCTCTCACTGTCCCTGCACCTCTGGCCTGGACCCCAGCTCTGTACACATAAATAAAAAATTTTTTTAAAGCAACTATTTTGGTTCCTAGAGTTGTGAAACTGGTCAGATGCATACCTGCATACCCAGATACAACACCAGTTTATAAGGATTATTTGTCAACAATAGTAGTTTATAAATGGAGGTATCACACTTCCAAACTTCAGTCTATACTACAAAGCCATAATAATTTAAACAGTGTGTTACTGGAACAATAACAGGCACACAGACTAATGGAATCGAATAGGGAGCCCAAAATAAACCCACTCATATATGGGCAATTAATCTTTGACAAAGGAATAAAGAATATGCCATGGAACAAGGACAGCTTGTTTAACAAATGGTGCTGGGAAAACTGGACTAACATAAAAAAATGAAACTAAACCACTACCTCATACCGTGCACAAAAATCAACTCAAAATGGATAAAATATTTGGGCGTAGGACATGAAACCATAAAATACATAGAAGAAAATGTAAGTAAAATACTGTAAGACATACGTCTCAGTGTATTCACAGACTCTACATCCAGAGCAAAGAAAGTGAAGGAAAAGATAAACAATGGGACTACATCAAATTGAAAAGCTTCCACACAGTAAAAGAGACATTAACCAAGACAAAGAGACACCCTACTGGCTGGGAAAATATCTCTGCACTCCATACTTCAGACAAGGGACTGATCACAAAGAGCTCACTCGAATCAACAAAAACAAAACAACCCAGTCAAGAAATGGACAGAAGAACTTAAAAGAGGAATTGCATATGGCCAACAGGCATATGAAAAATGTTCAGCGTCCCTCATAAGCAGGAAAATGCAGATCAAAACCGCAGCGAGATACCACTTGACCCCAGTGAGAATGGCACATATCAAAAAAAAAAAAAAACACCAAAAAATGTTGGCAAGGATGCAGTGAGAAAGGAGCCCTCCTCCATTGCTGGTGGGAATGCAAACTGGCCCAACCACTATGGAGAGCTGTGTGGAGATTCTTCAGACTACTAAAAATGGAGCTTCGATACAACCCAGCAATTCCACTCCTAGGGATCTACCCAAAGGACACAAAAACATTAATTTAAAAAGATAACACCCCCCCATGTTTATCGCAGCACTGCTTATAATAGATAAATCTTGAAAATAACCCAAATGACCAAAATTAGATGATTGGATCAAGAAGTTTATTTATTTATACACACATGTGTCGTGTGTGCGTGCGCAGTGGAATACTACTCAGCCGTCAAAAAGATAAACGATAAACTCATGCCATTCACAGCAACATGGACAGAGCTGGAAGGGATTGTGCTCAGTGAAATAAGTCAGAAGGAAAAAGAAAAATATCGAATGACTTCACATATAGGAGGAATTTAAGAGAACCAAATAAGATGGGGGGAAATGTATTTTTATTATACAACAGAGCAATACAGAAATAAACAGACAAGTATAAACTAGAGAGTTCCTACAGGGGAGGAACAGACAGAGAGGGATTAGAAGGAGCGGGGAGTGTGGAGGGCTACAGGAATGATGAGAGGGGGAGAGGGGAAGGAAATATTGTTAGAAAATGAACAATAATGTTAATCGATATGTAAAAATAGCAATTTATCAGAAATGTCGTAGGAAGCTCCAGGTGAGTTAGTAAGAGGCTTGCAGGTGCCAGGAGCCTGCGTGCCGTCGGAGGTTGCATCGCCTGCTTGCACCGCAGTTATTTTAGTGTTGTGTACCAGCTCATTACCTCCTCAGCACCGTAATTGTAATCTGAAAATTCAACATGTTTGTCATGCAATTAGTGAATCGGTACCAAGATAATGAATTTTTTGGCTTGCTTTCTTTCCCTTATTTTGAAAGATCCTTAGATTCGTAAACTCACTCCGACAATCTGTTCCCAAACCCCTTACAGCATTCTATTTGTGAGAGAAACTATCAAGGCCAAACTATGCAGATTTTCTGATTGAGTTGAATTTGTCAAGAGCCAAGACTGTAGAGGCTGGTTTATATATATACAAGTTGTCATACTCACTAATTTTACTGGACGCTACAGTTTTTAGCAGTTCACAGAAACATGAGCTTAGAAACTTCAAATAAATTTGAAGTGATTACATCGGGCCCTCCCCAGTGGGACACAGCCGGTTACATCCGGGCCCTCCCCAGTGGGACACAGCCGGTTACATC